GACTTTTTTGTAGCAGTGCAATTCACATTATTGCTCGTATATAAAGGTTTTCGGGGTCGCTGAATACGAATTTGAGGTCAGATTTTAAAAATTCAAAATGGCGGATCCAATATGGCGGCCATCTTTTCTAAAAATTAATTCAATTTGCCTGAAAATTGTTACTCGGGGGTTTTTGGGAGCGCTAATTACGAATCCGATGTCCTTTTTTCAAAATTCAAAATGACGTATCCAATATGGCGGACATCTTTTCTAATAATTGATTCAATTTGCCTAAAAATTGGTAGTAGGGGGTTTCGGGGTCGCTGTTTACTAATGCAATGTTAGAGTCTATGTTAGGCAATTGTTTTTCTATAGTCACGAATGTAAACGAACATTTAATTTTGACATCGTTTTCTCATTAGGAATTTGTTTATCGGATTGTCACAAATGTGGATTCATATTTTATTCGGATCGCGTTCTCATGTTAGGCTTTTGTTTTCCGATTTTCACAAATATAGTCAATCATTTTAGATTGATTTCGTCGTTGCGTTAGGCATTTGTTTTTCTGCTTATTACGAATATAGTAATGAATATTTCATTAATCATTATGATGCCGGTTTCGCGTTAGGCATTTGTTTTTCACATTGTCACGAAGGTAGACGAACATTTTATTCTGATCTCGTTTTTATTTGGACATTTTATAAACTAAATTGAAACCGCTATTTTACATTTTAAAAAATCAAAATCGTAATCAGCGAACCAGAAAACCCCTAAATAACAATTTTCAGGCAAATTGAATCAATTTTTAAAAATGATGTCCACCATTTTAAATTTTTTAAATCTGATATCAAATTCGCAATCAGCGACCTCGAAAACCCCCGAGTAACAATTTTCAGGCAAATTGAATCAGTTTTTAAAAATGATGTCCGCCATATTGGATCCGCCATTTTGAATTTTTAAAATCTGGCATCAAATTCGTAATCAGCGACCCCGAAAACCCCCGAGTAACAATTTTCAGTAGTTTTGTTTACTTTTATTTTCGAATTTTTAAGTTTGTTTCAAATTTTGCAAAAAAATTTTTTTTTATTATTGTTTTAATTACAAAATTTTTAATTATTTTTTAAAATGTAAATTTTTTTAATAAAAGTTTATAAATTTGTGGGTCGTGAGCGTTTAGAAATAAAAAATATCTTAATTTTTGGCGAAGTTATAGATTTTAGAAATCAAAAGTGGTTTCGATCGAAACCGCTGGGCGTTAAAGGGTTAAAATTTCTGAAAATAATTGAAATTTGTCGAAGAATTTTGCTATTCAATTATATAAAGTTAATTGAAATGTTGTCGACAATTTTCTTTTTGGATTCTTTAAAAATAATTGAATTTCTGCGAAGAATGTTATTGATTTGAAAATAAGTGAATTCTTGTGATGAATATTGTTATAGGGGAGAGTCTCCAGTTGTGAGACGGGTTTCATTTTTGACCCGTAAATTGTAAACGGGTAAACGAAATTGTAAATAAAATACAGCGTTCGAAAGGTAACAGAAATACGCAACTTTTATTAAAAGAAAGTATAGTGTTTCGATGAACTCAAAAAATTTTGCGATACATTTTCCGAGCACATCGCTTTTTAAAAAAAAAAAAAAATGTCTCCAGTTGTGAGACACTCATTAAAAACTGCTAAAATTTAATAAGTTTGACATAAAACGTTATGTTTAGTAGAAATAATTAAATATATTAATAATATATATTATTATATACTAAATAATAATATTTATTCGCCAAAATATGACTATCAAATAATCACAATTTAATAGCTTCAACAAGAGCATTAAAATTGATTTCTTCTGAATCAATTGACTTTTTTCCACTTGACATGCCCAAAAATACTAGAAAAAAATCAAAACAACATTTAAATAGTGTGCCTGCAAAGTCGTATTTTTTATGCTGCCCAGATGGGTGTTGACACCGTCTCACAACTGGTGATATGCTGTGTCTCACACCCAGAAATTGGCGCTATTTTGAAAAAGGAAAATTAAATTATTTTCAACCGTAGATTGGAACAATGCAATATTCCATCACAAAATATAAGGAAAACACTAAAAGAAAATACATTACATTTACCTTTTCCAATTAATTAACTTAAAAAAAAAAGTACTTTGCATTTATTGAAAAAACGCTTTTTAGTCGATTTTCACACACAGTGTTGGTATTTAACAAAAACAGTTTATATATCCGTTTCGGCGTACACGAAACAGTTGGCTCATATAAAAAGAAATGTTTTTATATAAGCCAATCGTCTTTTTAATATTGCATGTTAAAAAAAATTGACTGTCTCAGAACTGGAGGTGTCTCACAACTGGAGACTCTCCCCTATATTTAAGAAAATAATTGAATTTTACAATGAATATTATAAAAATTCCTGAATATAATTGAATTTCGGTGAAGAATTTTGCTATTTATAAAAGATAATTAAAATGTTGACGAGAATTTTTAAAAAAATATTTGAAAATAATTGAATTTCTGGAAAGAATTTTACTGTTTATTAAAATAGTTAAATTCTTTCAAATAATTGCGTTAAACAATTTTTTAATTGAAACTAATTTAAACAGGATTAAAATAAAAGTTTTTCAAAAAAATACAATAAAATTCAGTTATCTAAAATAAATTATTGTCAAAAATAGAAAAAAATTTAAGGTTTTTTTAGAATTCGTGGTAATTTCATAGTTTGAGACAAACAAAAATACAAAAATTCAGAATTTTTTTATAAATTCTAAACATTTCATTTTTTCCAGTAATTTTAATAAAAATCTCTGATTTTACCCTGACTTGTGGCAACCCTGATTTTGAAGACAATTTCTTCATCTTCTGCAATTCTTAAAGTTTGGACTTTCAGCAGATTATTCCGCTTCTACAATTCTTCTTCTAATTTTGAGTTTTGAAGAATCTGTTCTTCAAGTTGTTTTTTCATATTTTGCAAGAGCACTTTTCCTTCCCCATTTTGGTTGTTATATTCTTTTAATATTTCTTGGAAGGAAATCTCATTTGTTAAGAGGTCTTCTTCAACCAGTGTCGGATTCTCTGTATGGTTTACTTTTGGGGATATTATTATTAGGCTCTATGTGGTGCCAAATTATAAATTTATAAAATAAATTATGTTTATAAAATGTACTCAAGTTGCATTAATTAAATGGAATTCTTTTATAAGTTAGTGTCTATAATAGTTATTTTTATTTATTTAATAGAGGATTTGTCGTAATATTTTTATAAGTTTAATTTTAAATACCACTAACCGGGAAAAAACAGGGAATTTGAAGAATGGAATTTAATAGACACCACACTGAAAAAAAAGTGCTGTTGAATCAAATATCTCCATGCTATTGAATTCCCCGTCATTGATTCAATGACACATTTATTAATCGAAAAGTATATATTGCTTAAAATGAAAAAATGAAACTGTTTAAATTAAAAGTACGGTACTGTAGAATTAATGATATTGTGCAAATTGTTTCTATAGTTCATCTATACATAGCAACAGAATAATTTATTGCTTCTTTGACATTATTCATTTGAAGCATCTAATAGATAAATTTGAAGAAAATGCATGTAAATTTAAATCAAATGAAAAATTGTTTGCTCTAAAGAAGCGCGCTCTGAAAACGAAAGCATATGCTTTCGTTTCAATGAGTGGTGCTATTGCGGACTGCCCATAGCATATGCTATAAAAATAAGAACACTATGTTTTGAGACATTGACAGGTACTAAATTTATTGAAATACTTACCCACATATATTTATATGTTTATTAAACCTGTCGTTTTTGAGATTCCAATATAAAAGTATTATTTAAATTCTTTTAATTAATTAATGACTAGTTAAATATAAATTCCCTATATAAATTCCCTTATATACGCGAAAAATCTCGAGCACGGTATTTAACCACAAAGTAAGTGCCCAACGTTGAGAAGCGGATGTATTACATTGCAGCGCGGCGGTTCTCGTCTATCACGGAAGTTAAGCGTCGTTGGTCGCGGTTACTAAATGGATGGGTGACCGCTTGGGAATAGCCGTATTTTTCTGACTAAAAAAGATAAGTGTGTTTGAATGTGTATGTGTGTGTGTGTGTGTTTAGCCGTTGGAAAAAATGAAAATAATAATAAAGATGTATATGTTAGTGTGAAAAATTGAAAAAAAGATGTGTATAAAAAGTGTTGTGTTAAAGGTGTGAGAATTAATTATAGTATATAAAAAACATGTGAACAAAAATTCCCTTTTTTCAATTTATCGTTGGTATATATTTAACCACATAAAAGAATTGAATTAACAGTATGGTGTTATTCAATCGATAGCAACAACTAAAAAAATTAAGAGTACAAATTTTTGAATCATAAAAATGATGCTTTTAAATTTAAAAGTTATAGTCATTGACTCAAAAGCATATACTGTTAAATTAAAAATTTTTGTTTATTGATTCAAAAGGATTCACCTTCGAATTAACATAGTATGCTGTCAATTTGAGAAATATGCTTTTGTTTCAAAGAAAGTGATACTATCGAATCATTAGAATCGGTGCTTTCAAAACAACAGCATATACGTTAGGCAGCCCGTTATGACACTATTCAATGAATCAAACCCATATGTCATTGATTCAACAGCATTTTTTTCTCCGTGCACGATTTGTATTTAATCATTTATAAAATTCATAAATTTCAAAAAAGTTTTAATTTTGGATGGAAATTGCTTCAAATGTATATGCTTTCAATAGGACTACTGAGATTGAGTGCTTAAATGCAATTACAAAACAGGAGATTCTAGAATTTTGTGAGGTAAGAACATTTTATTTTTTATTAAATTTACAAAAGTAGAGAAAAACGATTTTTTATAGAATAAAATTTATATTCTAAATACTGCATAAAAAAATAAATTTGTTTTCTTATTTTTCAGTGTTCTTAACTGATTGAAAAATTTTAATGTCAGTAGGAACAAAATCAAACAAATAGGCATTTTAGACAACGAAACTTAATTTACTGGCTACAAAAAGTAAATTTTAAGTATTCAGTAAGAAGCGAACAATTAAAAAGAATTCACATGAAGTGAATACGTGCATTTTACGTACTTTTTAAATTTATTTCTTGATTTAATTCCTCGCTTCTTACTGGATACTTTTAAAAGAGTTGTCACTTAAGAGAGTGCTGCTAATAAACGTCGCATATCTACTCCTGAAAGATAATGGAAAATTTGATTAATTTCCATAGTTGAGAATTGAATTCCATTATTTTTTTTAATTAGATTCAACATGGAATTCATACATTTGTCGATTAGTTCTCTTCTTCGTTGGCCTTTTTCAACACTCAACTTTAAAAATTCAGCATAAGCTGGAAATCGCACGTAAGATGACTCCACGATTTGAATCAATCCAGCATTTCTTGTGTAGTTCGCAACTTTATTTACAGATTTCGTTAAAATTTCGTAGAAAGTTACACGATAATCGTTGTCAATTTCTGTTTCTTCCATTAATTTCACCTCACGCTCACATTCATCACGCCATTCGACAAGATTATGTTTCCTATAAAATTGCAGATCATTCTTAAAGTAAGAATTACGGGAAATAATAAATAGACGCGCAGCGAACAATTTTAAAAGATCAGTGGAATAAGTTTTCCAATCAAAACGATGAAGGGAGTATTCGGCTTCAATGTGACCGATGATAAGTAAACTAATGTTAGAATCTTTTAAATTTGAATGAAATAATGGTTTGATATCATTTTTATAAAAACAACTTCTATAATCATTGTATTCAAAAATAATATGCATCAATTCTGAAGAAAATTTACCAGAATTATATCTTGTTATATCAATCATTAGTTCTTCTGAAAAGCGTTTAATTTGAAAAACACTCAGGTGATTAAGGAAGCACATTAGAAATTCATTTCCATATTTTCTAATTTTGTTAGTTTCTTTAAATTCGATTTCGTTCAAGATAAATTCTTTTGTTTGTAGTAAGCTCAAGAAAGACTTTTGTTTACTTTGTTCAGGAACTGTTATTTTGTTTGCGTAATATGATAAACGTGACCATAAATGGTAATGGTGAATAGTTTTACTAATTTGTACAATTAATAACATTTCCGCGATGTTTGAGATATTTTTATACATCAGAGGAGAAAGGGTCCACAATTTTTCAAAGTATCCACCTCTGTGTAGTGTATATTTTAAAGCCATTTCACATTCAGCAGTATCAATACCAGCCTCGAGGAGAAATTTAACAACAGTTGGTTGTCCTGCAGCTGCTGCAAAATGTAAACAGGTCTCATTTTCATCTGTTATTGTATTCAAATCAGCGCCGGCGTGTAGCAGCATTTCGACTAATCTGGTATGATTAAATGTTGCTGCAATGTGAAGAGGACTTCTATCTCTAAAACAAGTTTTAAAAGAATATCCCGCTTCTAGAAGGATTTTTAAAATTTCTTCATTTCCATTTTCGACTGCAATGTAAACGGCCAATCTGCTATCAATCGAATTTGTATCCAAGTCTGTTTGTTTCACCATTTTTTTCACAACTTCCGTTTGACCCTCTCGCACTGCTAAGTGAAGAGCTGAATTTGGTGATGCGTCAATTTTCGAACTGTTTATTAATAAATATCTCCAAATTTTCCAATTTTTTTCAGAAAGTGCCAATTGAAGTATCGTTTGAGACCCAAAACTAATAAATTTTGTTTTAACTTTAAAATCACATTCATCTTTCAACCAGGCTTTAGAGTTTTCATTAATTTTCGAACCATTTTCCACCATATACTTTAAAATTTCATAGTCATTCTTTATTACTATCTTATGCAAGGCAGTTTCACTGAAATCACCTTGGATATCTACTGCGTTAAATCCATTGATCATTAGTAATTTGACCATTTTGTAATTCCTGTTCTTAACTGCGTAATAAAGAGGCATCATCATAATTTCGTGTGTTTCTTTATTTGCCTTCTGTTCTTCACTTATTGTAGCACCATTTTTTAAAAGCAATTCGACAAGTTCAATGTTATTAAATATCGCAGCGAAAGCAAGTGGCGTTGTTTTATTTTTATCTACTACATTAACATCAGCGCCATTCTGTAAAAGAATCTCTGCTAATTGGATGCTCTTTATTTCTATGGCAAGATAAAGTGGTGATTGTTTATTTTTTGCTTGAACATTAACATCAGCGCCATTTTGTAAAAGAATCTCTGCTAATTGAATGCTCTTTACTCCTATGGCAAGATGAAGTGGTGTTAGTCCTTGATTTTGTTGAATGTTAAAATCAGCATTATTTTTTAAAAGAAACTCTGTCAATTCGATGTGTTCTTTACAAATGGCATAATGAAGTGGTGATAGATTTTTTTCATCTTGAACATTAACATCAGCGCCATTTTGTAAAAGAATCTCTGCTAATTGGATGCACTCTACTCCTATGGCAAGATGAAGTGGTGTTATGCCTTGATTTTGTAGAATGTTAAAATCAGCATTATTTTTTAAAAGAATCTCTGTCAATTCGATGTTCTTTTTCAAAATAGCAATATGAAGTAATGTAGATCCGTGTTTAGTTTGAACATTAATTTTTGCACCATTTTTCAAAAGAACTTCTACGAATTGAATATAATTGTTGCCTGCGGCAAAATGAAGCGGAGCAAGGCCATCACTATTTGTCGCGTTCAGATTACTTTTTTTTACTAATACGTCGAAGACACTTGGATGATTGTTAATTATCGCTAGGTGCAGAGGTGTGTTACCCGAATCATCTCCTTCATTGATAGAGAAATCGCACTCGCAAAGAAAATTAACAATTTCAGAGTGTCCCCTTGCTGCTGCTGTAAGCATTAGTGAATGTTTTTCTTTTTTTTCTTCTAGGAAAATGTCGTCAAACAAACGGAGCAAGAGCTTTAAATCATTCTGATAAACAGCATTATACAGTGGTTTCCAATCAATATAATCTTGAGAATACATATTGAATTTTTGAGAATAATCTCCTTTAAATATCTGTAACAAAAAAAGTAAAATTCAGGAATGAAACTGAAACTGTCCCTTAGTTATCATCATCCTCTTAAATTTTGGAAATTAAATTTTAAAGTTAAATGTATTTTTTATTTAAGAGCAACATACAATTTTGAAAAATTAAGTGGATGTTGATAACCGATTACTCAAGTTTTAGCTTCATAAAAAATACTTAATTTTAAAATTTAATTTCCAAAATTTCACCCATTATAAGGGAGCTATTTACCTAGATACCAGTTACTAGAATATCAGAGTATAATAATTAATTTTTACCCTCATTTTATAAAGACTATTTTATTTTAATGACATAAATCAGGGAATTTTAATCGAAAGTTTAAATCAGTTTTAAACAAAATAAATTTTGTTTAACAATCAATTTTTAATTATCCAGGGTGGCCGCAAGTTTGACTTTATCAATTTCCCTGACATTTTACTGACATAACAACGAATTTCCCTGACAAAAATTTTTTTGTTTAGAGCAAAAAATGTATTGCATGACGGTCTTAATTTCTTTAATTGCCCTGACAAAAAAATTTTTCCTGACATTTCCCTGACTTTACTGACAAACAAATTTTTTTCTGACATTTCCCTGACTTTACTGACAAAATATTTTTTTCCCTGACATTTCCTTGACTTTACTGGCTTTACTGACATGTGGCCACCCTGTTATCTTATGTTTCTCTTTATAAATAAAATTTTTACTTAAAAAGCCTTATTAAATGTTTAATCAGCAATGCAGAATATTAAATACTTCAAAAATTTGTTTGTCAGGGAAAATGAAAAATTAGTCAGGGAAAAGACAAAGAATCTTGAAAATTAAATTTTGTGGCCACCCTATTATTCTTAATTTTATGTTTAGGTAATATTAAAAAAACCAACTGATTAAAAAATAAATATTTAAAAAATAGCATTAAAAATCCATTAAATTAAATCATTTAAATAATTTAAAAATGAAATTTTTAATTTTTTTTTTAATTTTTAAATTTTTATTTATTTATTTTTTTAAATGATGATTTTAATGAAATTTAATTTCATTAACAAAAAATTTTGCTAAATAATAATTAATTTAATTATTCATTCCTTAAAATTAATTAAAAATGGAACATTTAATCAAATGATAAATCAGAGCATCTACTATTTTTATTTTAAGCATACAGGTAATTAAATCTACAAAATGACTACAAAAATTGACTTATTATGACTTATTATTGACTTATTATGGGCATTTGACGTAACCTCAAAATGGTCCACTTTTACTTATTTTTCATTAATTAATTAATGAATTAAATTTTATAAAAATACTTTTTTAAGTACATATATTATATTAATTTCAATACATTATTCTGAATAAAGATAATATTGAGTATATTATTGTTTGTAAACACATCATATATCATTCAAATTTCACTAAACACATTTTTAAGTTAACGTTTAATAATTAAAAGTTAGTGGTAGTGTATATAAATGCTATATATAAAACTCTGCAAATCAGAATTAGTTAAAAATAGTTAATTTATAAGTGAAATCATGGCTGATTTTTTGCTTCAGCAATTAGTAAAAAATAACTAATTATATCAGTGGGATAATTACCATTTATTAGTAAATAAATAGCTACGAAAATTGTTACCTTTTTGGCCACTTGTTTTAGGAAGGTACTTTCACTTTTTACATATTTTTTAAGAAACAAAATACTGTGACAACAAAAATGTTTTATGATATTATTGGTTAGTTTTACATTTGCCCACATGCAGGCCGGATTTCATGTGCTGTCTGCTCCCAGGCTGCAGGGATGAGAAACTGCCTCAGTCAAACGTCCGAAGTAAAGGTAGTAAAGGTGCTTCTACAATTGTTCTACATTTTCTAACAAATTAACCTAAAGGTGCCGTCCCATGTCGGCGTAAAAACGTCAAAGCGTCGGCGTCAAAACGTAAATGCATGAGAGTGAAAGAAACAACCTTATATCTCTATCTCGTTCACTCTCATACTTTAACGCCGACGCTTCAGGCCGCAGTCCCATGGCAGCGTTTTGCGTTGCGTTGTAATGAGAGAGAATGCAGCAAACGTATATTTGCGTCTTTTTTTCTCCCATTACGACGCAACGCAAAACGCTGTCATGGGACTCCACCCTCAACGCTTTGACGTTTTTACGCCGACATGGGACGGCACCTTCATTCTTCATTTTAAAAAACATGAACAATAACTGCGTCGTCAAAATAAAAATTCTAAACTTTATAAATTCGGCTAATTTAATATTTTCATTAACAAAGAATGCTGCTAAATAATAGTTGATTTAATTATAGCATCCAGCCTCTCAATTTTTGATAATTATTTTAAAAAGATAACTTTTAATCAAAAGTGAATGCTTGAACGCGTAACGTAATTTCGAGTTTTCAAAAGGATGTTTCTCCCAATTTGGACAGTTATTGCAAATTCGGGAAAAATACTATACTAGCTATCCTGAATTTTTGTACTTTCAGGGAGCATTTACACCTTCGGTAAAAATTTTCAGAACGGAAAATTTTTCATTGGAGTAAGAGAGGCAGACTGTGTATCTGACTCTCTTACTCCAATGCAAATTTTCCTTTCTGGACAATTTTTACAGAAGGTGTAAACGCTTCATCATTTGCGCAAAAGAAATTGAAAATCCATTATAATACGACGTCAGGAAGTAAAAAACCGCTACCAAGTTGTACATTTTTATAATTTCGATGTTCATTTCATGAACACTTTGCTTCCTCATAGAAATAATAATAATTGAAATATAAGAATTACTTTTTATAAAAGAGTTAAAAATCATTAAATCTTGGTCTAAAAAATGTGTTTTTATATATTCTATAAAATCCCAAGCAGCACGGAATATACCCTGAAGATGAAGGGAATATTACATTTCATATTCGGAGTATTCCAGTGGAATGTTCCAGGGATCTTAAAGTAATATTTAAATGTCCGCCCCACAGGAATATTCCAAGATAACATTGAGGGAATGTTCCACGGTAATATCAAAGCAATATTCCAGGATAATGTTGAGGGAATGTTCCACCGTAATATTAATAGAATATTCCAGGGTCATGTTGAGGGAATGTTTCCAGGTAACATTAAATATGTTGAAAATGCCATTGAATCTCATTTTTACTAAAGAAAGAAGAAAAAAAGAAAAAAAAGTCAAATTTTTTCAAAGTATGAAATTTTGGAATGTTCCCAGGGAATATTCTTGGAACATTCCCTCAATATTCCCTCAACATGAACCTGGAATATTCCATTAATATTACGATGGAACCTTCCGTCAACATCATCCTAGAATATTGCTTCGATATTACCGTGGAACATTCCCTCAATGTTATCTTGTAATATTCCTGTGGGGCGGACATTTTAATATTACTTTAAGATCCCTGGAACATTCCACTGGAATACTCCAAATATGAAATGTAATATTCCCTTCATCTTCAGGTTATATTCCGTGCTGCTTGGGTGGTAATAATAGTTTAATAATTACACATAAATTCATAAACAAGAATGTTGAAAAAATGATATTTTCCACAATTCTTGATTTTTCAAATACCAATAATTTCATAATTTTTGCCCGAATCAGGTTCAAAAATAGGTCAATCGAAGCGTTTTTTAATGCTCTTCAAGTTGGTAATAATTTTTTGAAGTTACTTTTACATAATTTAAAAAAAATTTTAAAAAAGTCTTATTTTCCAAAATTTTTGATTTTTAAAAGTTTAATAACTCCGGTTAATATGGACGAAAAATGTTCAATGAGGGCTCAAAAGATGCGTCTAAAAAAACTCTACAAAATTATGGAAAAACAGTTATAGGTGTCCTAACATTTTTTTAAAGTTATGGGCAAAAAACGTTTTTTTACTAAATGAAAAATGCAAAAAAAATAGTTAAACTTTATGAATCGGGCTGAAAATACTCTCATTTTATGTCCCCCGGGGAGACCTACAATTTAAAAACAAATTTAGGCCTTTAGCTCTTTCGCGTTCTGAGATATTGAGGCAAATGTAATGTTAGTACACACACACACACACACATCGGGACAAATTTTTAAAATCCGTTTTTTGGACTTCGGAGGTCAAAATACGTCGGCATTTTTTTTTATTTATTTAGAACATCTATACGGGGAGTTCCTGTGCATATATAAAGTACTAAAGTATTAGGCATAATAAAAAAAAATTTTTAAATATGTCAAAAAATGACAATCCAAAATTTTGCTAATACAAAGCTTCCTTTATGAGGAAGCAATTAGAGAATTTTATGGGCCCATTAGGTGCTGCCCTTTATTGAAAATAATTGAATCGTTTTAAAGAATTTGATTATAATTTTTAAGAATAGTTTTTTTATTTCTAGTGTTAGCTAATTTACCTTTAAACTGCTACGTGCTGAAAAATCACCAGTATTCCCTTTTTTACGGTTTTCTTTAGTAATTTATAATTTTCTAATTACTATATTGTAAATATTTTTTACTTTTTAACATAAAAAAGTCATTTTTATATTATTTTAATTCAATTTTTTTTATTTTTACATATGCTACAATACAAAATTTAACGAATTTGAAAAAAAAAATTTTTGAAAAAGTTGTCAACTAACAGATTTTCATAAAACATGAAGCTACTGAAAAGCTCACGTTCTTATTATACTTTGAAAAAAAGTTATAAGCAAAGCAAATTTTTGTAGCGGTCTGTCAGACCGGCATAGCAGTTTTAAGGTTCAGGTAGTGGAAATTCTCAAAAAAACATAAACAGTATCTTTTAGTGGCTGAAATCTAAAAAAAGTACCTAAATAGTAGCATAACTTAAAAAAAAATAGTAAATAGTAGGTTTTAGAAGATGAGTGCCAAGCCTGAAAAAAAATTTTTTTTCTGTCCTTTGGTAGACTCATTCCTAAGGCCAAATAGTAATGTTTTTTCAACATTTCGATTTAAAAAAAATATTTCTCATTTCTCGTGAAAATTTCACGAATTCTGCCCCTTAGAGAAAAAAATAGATGTTCATACTCGATTGAGTTTCCTACAAATTAAAATTATTCAGAAATTCATATAGTATTTAAAAATATTTTCTTTATTCAAAAGTACAGAAATATTTTAGGATCTTGATTAATACAGTCATTGGTCCCAACTGTTACTTTCATCATAGAATATTTATAATTTATAAGTATTATGTCATCTACAATATAAACAATTATAATTTCAACTACCATGAAATATAAAGTAATTTCTTTACCGTCAAGGTCAGGTACACATTAAACCGACATATTGATAAATCATTTTTGGGAAGTGATACATTTAATATAATATATATATTTATATAGTTAATTGCTAATAATTATATTGAAATTTACAGTTGCAGTCAGAAGCCTTGTATTACAAAAATAAAAAATCAATATTACTTGAATCATGCGAAAAATGGTCTTCTTTTGTTTCTTAAATTATTCTTTTCCACATTTCGCATTTATAAAATACACGACTTTATATCATAAAACATTAAATATCTGAAAAAATAATCTGTTATAAATTCGAATTTCATTTAATTAACAAGTCTTTGTCTTCAAAAAAAAAATATTATCGAACCTCTTTTTTATTAAAAAATATATGTAATTCATTTTTTGATACATTTTCAATCAACAAAAATATTTTATATATACAAAAAGCATATTCATATTAAATTGAAATTAATTTTCAAAATTTATGACTGAATAGAAAGGAAATTGTTTCGTTTGGTCCGTTTATAATGAATATATATCTATAGGGTTCCATTATAACAGATACATGTAATTGTATATATATATATAAAATATAAAAATATTTAACGGATCTACAAAATTTTAGGTTTGAGATGGCTTTTTTCTTCTTCCGAAAAGATTACTCAAAACAGAACTTCTTTTAAAATCTCGATCTTTACGATATCCTGTTGCATTTTGTTCGCTTTCCGATCCACTTTCAGATGGCCTTCTTCCATCGACCACTGAAATATTTTGACCTTCTTGAATTATGGCAGGTGGCGGTGATATGTAGGGAGGTAGAGATGATGGTCTGCCAGTGAACGTATTAACTGTTACTGGTCCACCCTGTCAAATAATGATAGTACTATGTTAATCCAATTCCAAAATATTATTATATCAATATGATTTAGTTTTAACTGTGTTGAAAAACAAGAAAAACCTTCAAAAATTTTTATCAAGACTTATTGTTCCTTATTTCGCAATACCCATTTTCAGTCTTCGCACTCGATAATTAATTTTAAAAAAGTAGCTTTCAAACTGAAAAAAGTACCGTCAACTGGGGCTATTTTGTGCACCAAATAGCTTTTTTTTACTCAAAGATTTATTAAAATTCAGAATTAAAAGAATAAAGAAAATCAACTTTTGATATATGTTGTGGACATCCTTCTGAAGGTTTCCTATAAATTTGGCAAAGAAACAAAATTTTTGTCTTAGCTGTAGTCATTGAAAGTTGTGCACACAATAGTTCCCGGGATGGGGCTATTTTGTGCATCGAACTTTGTCTTTCTATAATGTTGCGTAAACATTTTTTTTAATCGTTTCTGCTTCATGAAATCTTTTGTGTATATATTTGAGAGTAAGTTAAAAAAAGAATGACCTAGTAAAATTTTTTTTGTAGATATATTATACAAAAAATGTAAAATAAAGCACTAAAATTTTGCTAAAATCTGAATTTACTAAAAATTAACAATCTTTCTTTAAATTGTATATTACGCAGATAGTAAATAACATTTTTTTCTTTTTTAATATATATTTTATAATAATATACTAATATAATTATAAAATGATCGTTTAAACACTTATAAATAACTTTAAAACATCATTTCAATAGGAGCTTTTTTAATAGTTTTGAATGATATTTTTAAAAAACTTGAAATAAATATTTTTAAGGTTAAATAGATAACAATTTAATATCTAATATGCTTTTCAAGTTATTTTAAGAGAAACGAGAAAATAGTTTTAAAACTAATTTGAAAAACTTATAAATATTAATTAAAGTTCATTTTTTGAGGTTACGTTGCGCACCGGTTGAGGTTTTAATCGTTTTAATGATTTTAATTAACGTATTTACAGTCTTTTGACAGAAAAGTAAGACAAAAATGTATAAAAATGATACACAAAATCTTCTTTACTTACTAAATAAAATATTTATGAAAAATATTTGATTTTTTTAAGTGCACAAAATAGCCCCATGGAATTCTGGTTTTTCAGTTTTTTTCACTTTTCTCTTAAAATAATGAATAAAAAGTTAGCGCATTACGTATGTATCATCACAACACAATTGACAACAAATATCTAACTCAGTTTATGAGACACATTAAAACTCTAGAAGATCTGGTATAATTTTTCCGAACTTTCAAAATTTTTGACACAAATTTTCCGCTTTTAGGAATTTTTTTCTCTTAATTGACAAAGAATTAAATAATAACATTTAGTGCTCTCTTTTGTCATGTAATCAAACTTTCATTTTACAAAATAGCAGATTAAAATAATTCATTTTAATAATTTTATTCATTAAAAAACTCGCGTGCACAAAATAGCCCCCGGATGCACAAAATAGCCCCAGTTGACGGTAGTAAAAAGGTAGCTGTCGCAAAATTAAACTTGAGACCAAAAAAAAACTCGTTTTAGACACTTCACAAAACTGACAAAAATTACATTCCATATTTTTTATTTTTCTGTCTTTTTCCTAATTTTCATCAAAAATACTTACTTCTTTAATATCCTAATAATAAATTGAATTCCCACAACAAATTTTATTATACATGAAAAAATTTAAATATTTATAAAAATCATTTAATTCTTGCGAAGAATTTTATAAAAATTTATAAATAATTGATTTCTTTCGATTAATTTTATGCAAATTCTAATTTAAATAAATGAAATCCTCAAAAATTTTTATAATTCATGAAAAGAATTGAATTCTTACGAAGATTTTTACTACAAAAAATTATTAAATAATTGAATTCTGTTTGGAAAGTTTATAAAAAATAGAAAATATTGAAAATCATTGAATTGCGAAAATTTTTTTTAAAAAATTAACCTTACGTTGGATCAAATTTTTCAACTTTAAAAATAGATTTTATTAAAATTTTTTTAAATAACTGAATTTCCAAGGAAAAATATTTATTACTTTTAAAAATAATTGAATCCTCGTGATAAATATTGTTATTTATTAAAATAATTAAATTTTGCAGAGAATTTTATTAAAATTCCTTAAAATAATTGAATTTTCGAGAATAATTTTGTTATTTATCGATTTAATTAAATTCTTTCGACAATTCGTTTGAACAATTTTATTAAAATCATTGAAAATAATTGAATTTCTGTGACAAATTTTAATATTTTTGTAAATAATCAAATTCTGCCAATTATTTATGAAAAGAATTGAATTCTTACGAAGATTTTTACAAAATGTTTTTTTAAATAATTGAAGTATGTTTGGAAATTTTATAAAAATAGAAGATATTGAAAATATCTTCTATAAAAGTTTTTTAAAATAATTAAATTTTACAAAGAATTCTATTAAAATTTTTGAGAATAATTGAATGTCTGTGCGGCATTTTATTAAATTTTTTTTTAAATTATTGAATTCTTGCGAATGATTTTATCAGAATTTTTAAAAATAATTGAATTCTTGTGATGAATATTGTTATTTATGAAAATAATTGAATTTTGCAAAGAATTTTTTTAAAATGTTTAAAAATATTTCAATTCTTTGAAGAAATTCAATTAGAAATTTTTTGAGGAATTGAAATTAAATTTTTACTAATAATATTTTTTGAGCAATTCTTGTAAAATTGTATTAAAAATAATTAAAATCCTGCGATTAATTTTATTATTTATGAAAATAGTTAAATAGTTGCAAAGAATTTTATTAAAATTTCAAAAATAATTGAATTCCTGCAACGAATTTTATTATTCATGAAAGAATTTAAATATTTATAAAAATAATTTGACTCTTGCGAAGAATTTTATTAAAATTTTTAAATAATTAATTTCTTTCCACTAATTTTATGCAAATTCTAAGTTAAATAATTGAATTCCTAAGAAATTTTGATTATTTATGAAAAGAATTGAATTCTTACTAAAATGTTTACCAAAAATTTTTTTAATTAATAATTAAATTCTGTTTCGAAATTTTATGAAATTTTACGAAATTTTACAAATAGATTTTATTAGAATTTTTAAAAATAATTGAATTTCCAAGAAAAAATTTATTATTTTTTAAAAATAATTGAATTTTGCCAAAAATTTTATTAAAATGCCTGAAAATAATTTTAATTTTCGGGAATAGGTAATTTTGTTATTTATCGACATAATTGAATTCTTTCAAAGAATTATTTACATAAGTAATTGCATTCTTGGGAAGAATTTTATTAAAATCTAAAAGTATAATTAATCTATTTCAAAAAAATTTAATTAAAATTGTATTTAAAATAATTGGTTTCTTTCGATCAATTTTATTAAAATATTTGCAAATAATTGAATTCTTGTGAAAAATTGTAATATTTTTTTAAATATATAAATTCTTCAAAGAATTTAAAAAAACATTTTTTTTAAATAATTGATTTTCGCGAGGAATAGAAATTAAATTTTTAAGAATAATGACAATTCTCGAGCAATTCCTATAAAATTGTATTAAAAATAATTGAAATCATGCGATGAATTTTATTATTCATGAAAATAATTGAATAGTTGCAAAGAATTTTATTAAAATTTCAAAAATAATTGAATTCCAGCAACGAATTTTATTATTTATGAACATAATTGAATTACGGGGGAAAATTTTTAAATAAAAAATTTTTTATTAAAATGTTTAAAAAGAATTGAATTCTGTGAATAGTTTGGTTATTTTTTAGAAGAATTGAAGTCTCCATAAGAATTTCATAAACATTGTTTTAAATAATTAATTTTTTCAAACTATAATAAACATTATGATAATTTTATTAGTTAAATAATCTTTAACGTCCGAGATTCGAGGATAATTTTATTTTTAATAATTGAATTCTTGTGGAAAATTTTATATGTGAAAATAAGTGAATTTTTCTATTAATTAGGGGAGTGTTGTTAGAGTTGAGCATAGTTTTGACTTTTTCTTCATATCTTCCCCTGTAGAACGAATTTCGGGATTTCATGCATATTTTTGGAAAGATCAACTCAAATGCAATGTTTTTGCTGAACATTGTAAAAAAATTCGACCAAAAGATTCAGAGTTATAAGCAATTCAAAAAAAAAAAAAAAATTTCAGAGTTGATCATGGTCGCCAGAGTTGGGCCACTGTTGAAAATCAATTAAATATTTAGGTAAATGATTAAAAATGACTTTCAAATGATAGAATGACACTTGGGAATGAGGAAAGGAACCATGAAATTAAAATAAAATCCCATATTTTGTATTTTCATATAACTTTAGATAATTTATTCCTCATGAACAAAATCCAAAATTAAAAAATTGAAAAAATGAAAAAAGGTTATCAAAAATTTTTTTTTTCTCTCTTTCCAATTGAAATGAAGTTTTTAACACTTATTTAAGTGAAAAAATAAATTTTTGTTGCAAGTACGCTTTGTAATTGCAAAATTTCCCTCATGGCCCAACTCTGACACACGCGTCGTTTTGCGTCATAGGGGCATAGAACACAAACGCGTGACACAAAATCCAAAATACTTTACACATTTTCACATATCATCCTAATGAACAATTTCTGTAAACTTATTTTGTCTTTGGCACATTTCTTCTACATTTAGATCTCTTTTTTTGACACCACAAAAAAGTCTTTGTTGAGCCTATATTACAAATTGGTACGCTGGTCAAGTATAGGTTCGTATACTTAACTGCGACTCATATGAAAAGATGGCAGACACTTAGTAGCAAGAATTTACGTAAAAAGATAGATGGCGCTAGTGCAATAAAACGAAATAAACGCGGTGGCCCAACCCTGAACCCTGTCCAACTCTGCCAACTCTCCCCTAATTTAAATAATAGTATTTAAAAATAATTGAAATTCTTCGATGGGTTTTCATAAATAATTGTGAAAATAATGGAATTTTTGATGAATTTTATCAATTTTTTTAAAAATAATTGAATTGTTTTGCGAAAAGTTTATGAAAATACTAGAAATTGAATATTATTGAATTTTAAATATTTTTTTGAAAATAATTGAATCGTTTTAAAGAATTTGATTGTAATTTTTGAGAATAGTTTTTTGCGATTTCTAGTATTAGCGTATTTAAAGTAGAAGAAATTCTCCAAAAAACAGAAGTAGTAGCTTTTAGTGGCTGAAATCTAAAAAAGTACCCAAATAGTAGCATAACGTATAAAAAAGTAGTAAATAATAGGTTTTCGTAGATGAGTGCGAAGCCTGCGTTTCATAATATTTTTGTAGAAAATTCTCAATTTTTATAAGAAAATAATTTATTATTTAATTATAATAATTAATAATAATAATTAAAATAATAAATTGCTTACCTGTCTAGGACTTGGCACCATATTGCCGTAAACTGAAACACAAAATAAAAATATGTTTAGAAATCTTTTACAAATAATCATTCAGCTTTGAATTAACTATAAAATAAAGTCAAATCGAAAGTTCAAGCTTGATTTAATATTTTAATCCGAGAAAAAGCTATTTTAAATGAGTTGAAAAATTTAATAAATTATTTTTATATAATAACTCACCAGGATCAATTACTCCAGTATTCCATTGGGGTGCTCTGTTTGTTGGTGGAGCACTTGAAGGCAGAGGAGGCACTAAATCTATAAAATTGAATACAAAGTAATGAAATATTTTTAAATTACTCGCAGTTAATTTCTTTGAAAAATACTTTAAGTAATTAGAGTATAATTAAACCACAGCAAAAGGCTGTGGTTTTTAAATTTCTGTAGAATATATTCTATAAATTGAATAGAATAATAAAAATATAGAATTTATTTTTGAAACGATATATTCGGTTAAGGTGACAAAGAAACCATAAATATAATTAAAAATGAGTGAATAAAACTTTTCCATAAAAATTAATATATTTTGTTTCCTTTACCTGCATGCTGAAGATTAGGATCTATGCTGTGCGAACGGTTAAAATCTTCATTGGAAGAGTATTGACCGGATCCATTATGACTGAAATTAATACGTGGCTGATATTGATACGACTGAGGTCTTGCCTGCTGCACATGTTGGTTTCCATCTATAAGAAATTAATTAATCGATATACACTGAAATGCAGGATAATTTTATATTTTTCAAAAGTCAAAATTTAAAAAATAAAAAAATCCCATAATGCCAAGTTTTTTTAAAATTAATCAAAATTATCTAATCATATTGAATTTCGAATGATTAATATCAGATTCGTAATAAGAGATAAAAAAAACCCCCTATTACTAAGGTTTCAATTTCTCAATTTTGAAAAATTGACTTCAGATTCATACTCAAAGAGGGTTTCCATAAAAAATTGATTTCGTTTTTTCTGATTTCCAAACAGAATTTTGACTTTATCCTGATTTTAAAAGAGTTTTTTTTTCATCATTTAAATTCAATTATTACTTTCTAGAAATTTTAACTAAAATTCCCTTTTAAATCAATTATTATTAATAATCATTGACAAAGTTTTTTGAGAATTTTCAAATTCATTTGCATACAATTTAATTTTACGAAATTTCGATTACTCAGAAAATCTTCAATAATTAAATATATTATAGAAAATAAATACTTCAAATAATTTCAAAAAAATTCAATGAAATTTTTTCAAAACATTAAATTTACAGAATTCTTAGTAAAAAGTATGAAAAATTCAGATTTTCCAAGATTTTAATATGAAACCTTTTCAAAATTGAAATATTTCTAAGAATTCATGTTACAATGCTTTTAATATTAACTCTCTGCTGATGCTAACGACCGTTATCGTCAAAAATCGTCATTCTGGACGCCTGGTGGGGACTATGGGAGTTACGTTCTTTGGCTATAGAGTGGGGATAAGTTAGCATCAGCAGAGGGTTAAATTATCATCTAAAATTTTAACTGAAATTTATTTTTAAATCAATTTTTATTTGAAAATTCTACGAGAATTCAATTATTTAAATACGAAAATAAATAATTTATTGATTAATTGAATGTTTTTTACAATTGAATTCTCGTAAAGAATTTTATCAACAAATTTTTAAATCTATAGAATTCTTTTAAAAAACTTTAATAAAATATTTAAGAATAATTACATTTTTCGAGGAATTCGATTAAAGTTGTATTAAAAATAATTAAAACTCTGCGATGAGTTTTATTATTTATGAAAATAATTAAATCTCGTTCTACAATATTTTATTATTTATAAAAAAATAATTAAATGTTTGCGTAAAATTTTATCAAAATATTTTTAAAATAATTGAATTCTTTTGCAAAATTTTATTAAAATAGTAGATATTTCAATATCTATCATTGAATTGAGGAAAATAATTGAAAGTTTGCCAAGAATTTTATTAAAATTAAAGTTTTAAACATACCTAATTGAATTATCATAAAGAATTTTATTAACAAATTATTAAATAATTAATTTCTTTCGACGAATATTAATAAAAAATTTTAAGAATAATTACATTTTTCGAGGAATTTTATTAAAATTGTATTAAAAATAATTGAATTTCTCCAAAGAATTTTATAATAGTTTTTGAAATATTTGAATCCTTTGTGAAATTTTATTGAAATACCCTAGATATTAAAAATAACTGAATTTTGACAAATTTTTGAAAATAATTAAATTTCTACTCAGAATTTTATTAAAATTATTTTTAAAAAAACTGAATTGCTACAAAGAATTTCATTAAAATTTTTAAAAATATTTTAATTGTTTGAAGAAATTCAATTTAAACTGTTTTAAACGAATATATAAATTCTAATAAATAAATTGTAACAAAAGTTTTTAAAATAATTGAATTTCTTTGATGAATTTTAATAAAATTTCTGAGAATAAATTACATTTTTCGAGGTATTCGATTAAAATTGTATTAAAAATAATTGAAATTCTGCAATCAGTTTTATTATTTGTGAAAATAATTGAATTTATCAAAAGAAGTTTATTATTTATGAAAATAATGAAATTATTTTAAAGAAATTTATAAAAAATTTCTAAAGAATTGAAATCATGTGAAATTTTTATTATTTATAAATATAATTAAATGTTTACGTAGAATTTTATCAAATATTTTTTTTTAAATAATTGGATTCTTTTGGAAAATTTAATTAAAACAGTAGATATTAAAAATCATTGAATTGAGAAAAATTTTTGAAAATAATTGTAACTTTGCGAAGAATTTTATTAAAATTTTTGAAAATAATTGAATTTTGGAAAAGAATTATCTAAAATTCATTTTATTTAACTTTATTAACTATTTGAAATTTTAGAACGTGGCAAAATTTACTCCAAAAGTAGTAAAAATTACCAGAAATGCTTTACCGGAAAGTTTTTACTATAAAAGTAGTAAAAGTTACTTTATATTTTTTTCCGTGTATATTATTTATAAAGATAATTGAAATTAAAAAATTTTTTTTTTATTATTGAACATAACTAAACAGCGAAAAATTTTATTATTTATAAAAAAAATTTTAATTTTGACGAAAATTTAAAAAAATTTGTGAATTCCAAAATTTTTTTAATTTAATTGAATTCTCAGATAAAATTTTATCAAAAATTATTAAATAATTGGATTCTTTTGACTAATTTTAAATAAAATTGTTAAGAACAATTACATTTTTCGTGGAATTCGATTAAAGTTGTATTAAAAATAATTGAATTCCAAAAAAGAATTTTATTATTTATGAAAATAGTTTAATTTTGTCAAGAATTTTATTAAAATTTTTGAAAATAATTGAATTTCAGAGAAAAATTTTACTACTTTTGAAAATAATTGAATTTCCACAATCATTTGTAATTGCTTTATGATTTATTTATATAATAATTATTTTAACTCCAAATTAATTTTGAATTTCTGGAATATTAAATTTTCTTTTCTCTTTCCTAACCTTGGCCTTGAATCAGCTGGGCCTTTTTCATGTTTTTATGTATCTTAGTATATTTGTACTCAGTTAACCTTATTTTGAATTCCTTATACTCTGAATTTAACGAAATTATATTTCTTATTGTCAAAATTATATTCTCCATTTCTTATTTCTGTTAAATAATAAAATTATTTTATCATTTATAATTTAATCGATTTTTTTGTCATAAGGTCCCTTTTCTCAGACGCGGTCACATATAGTATAATTGAAATTTTTTTATAGTATAATTTATAATTACCACTATATCGATGAACAACATTCTCAGAACTTGGAGATTTAGCAGGAATAAACGTTGTCACATTCCTGGGCGGAATCGGCGGTTTATCACTCAAATCATTCATGTGTTTATTAAAGTCCCTCACAGGAATTTGATCTTGCCGCATAATTTGCTGTTGCTTATGAATTTGTAAATATTCCTGATGCATTTGTTGTGGCGGATCAATAGAATGTTGCGGTGAGACGGGTTCTGAATTCTTCACATCCTTACGCGGTGCTTGTTGATTGTGTCTTTGTACTGGTAAATATTCCGTTTGTCCTTTATTCGAATTATCTCCAACATCTCGTCTTATGACGGAATTTCTTCTCTCCAATTCAGGAGTTGATGTACGACTACTTCCCGTTGAGAGTGTATCGTCTGCATGGCCTTTCAATCTCTCCAAACCCTCCTTCTGTGATTCGTCATAACTCAATAGTTGCATGCAAGGCGGAAGTTTGGCGTGGAAGGAGATTTTGTTCACCCAGTCTTCCATTTCCTGTCTACTGGGCGCTAGGAATAGAAATTCGGAGTTGTCGGTGCACTTGAGGCGGAAGACATTTTTTCTTTTTGTGTAGTCCTCGGCTTTCTCGCAAGTAGCGTTGAAGATTGTGATCGGAGCGGTGGCGGCTTTGCTTAGCACGAAGTCCTCAATGTCTTTGAAGAAGCACAAGAGTTGTCCGCAAAGAACTGTGTAATACTGTTTCCAGGAACGGACCGCGGCTTTTTTCCCACCGTTCTGCAGTTCGTGTTTTCTCTCCAACATTCCTTGGATTTCCACCGGTGGTAAGTCGTTCATGTTCTCTATTCGCTGATGTTTCCGGAAACTTTGCGTCCGCCGTCGGGTTGTGAAACTAGGAGTTCTTTTTGGCTTCTTCGTGTCTACTTTCATACTCTCCGCTCGCTTTATATCCGCCGTGGTTCTCTTTAGCCGTTCGCCGAAAATGTGCGTAATTCCGTAGGATTTTTGATCACTGGGACTTTCCCCTTTTTCCACAGCGCTGACTTTTAGGGGCGAGAGTCGATGATCCTTTCCATTGAACTCCTCGTGTCGGTTCGCGCCATCCGAGTGCTTTCTCCGCTCCTCTTCCCTCTTCCGCTCCTCGGTTATTCTCTGCACTTCCTTTCGCTTCCTCTCCTCCAGTCTCGTCCTCTCCACTCGCTCCTTCTCCGCCTGTCGAGCCGCCATTTCCATCTCGAGCTGCCGTTGGAAAGTCTTCTCCAACATTGTCACTCGCTTAAGCGCCTCGAACTTATCCTCCTGCGCCTGAATCGTCTTTTCAAAGTCCTCGTGCTTGCGGATCAGTTCCTCGACCTGGGAGATCGATTCCCCCAACACTCCGTCATGTAGCATCGGTTCGCGACTAACTATCCAGTTTTCCAAGATCTCCGCGTCGCGCTTAAATATTTCGGTGTCGAGATTCTCCTCGTAGACGAGCTTCCTCTGCTGCCAAATGTCCTTTAGCACTTGTTTCCTCTGCTCTAGGACCGAAATCTTATCCTCGATTTCCTTAGCTAAAAAGTGGCCTTGTTCGATCAAATCTTGTCCTGTACGGGAAAAGTTATTAAAAGCGTCGTTTCGGGTGTCGATCTCGGCCTTGTATTCACTATGCCTAGAGATGAGGACCTCAGCTCCAGAGACGTCGCGCGCTAGCTCGGGTGCCGTTACCTTAGCGACCATTTCATTAATCCAAGAAATAAGATCCCTGTACTCATCAAAGTAGGCCTGTAATTGTTCCGCCTGGGATAATTTACTTCTTCGTTGCGCTGCTTTTTTCAGAAGTTCGACCCAAGCCTCATCGGCTTCTTCGTGCTTAACCGCGATATGTTCCCTGGCGTCCGGAAACAGTTCCGCTAATCTCGACGCCTCTTCGATTACACCCTCCACTTGTTCCTTAACAGCCGCCAGATCCGTCTCAAAACCCTGGTGTTTTCGCACCAAAGCCTGAATCGTCTCCAAATCGTCGCCATAACCATCGGAACTGAGAATAGCCTCCTTTTCATGAATCCAGGCAATTGTCTCGTCGGCCGTTCTATCGAACATGTGAACCTGCTTCGCGCCCGCTAGAGCCTCCTGACGGGCGTGGGCCAACTCCTTAAGATCCTCCCACTGTTGCTTTGTTTCGTCGATTTTTTTATGAATTCGAATCAACTCGGGATTGTTCTCCTCGATTAGGGCCTGACCAGCGTCTATTATGTTGATAACTCGTCCCTCGCTGGTCGTCAGCCCGCTGAGAAAGTTATCGAAGATTTGAATCAACAGCTCTACGTGTTCAACATCCCGACCGTAGTCTTCGGATGCGGCGACTGTCGTCTGATCGCCTATCCACTCAATAACCTCGTCCGCTTGTCGGATGAATTTATGATACTTTTCGCTCTCCAACAATCTTTGGGATCTTCGCTCCTTCAGTGCTTGTAGATCCTCGAATTTGTGCTCTATCTCAACTTGTTTGTTCGAAATCGTCTTACTGTCGAAATGGTGCCGTTCGACTAGACCCCGAGAGAGAGTTTTTAGATTTTCGATAGTACTACGAAAACCAGAGAGATCCCGCTCGATTCCTTCGAGTTTTTTCAGGAGAGATTGCACTGAGTCCTCGTCTTTTCCGCAGTCCGAAGAAGCGAGTTGGGGGTATTTCTCCTTTATCCACTGTTCTGCTTCGGTTGCCTCAGCGTAGAACATTTGCGATTCAACCGCGTCGAGTAATCTCAATTTTCTTATACAGGCCAAATCTCTTAGGTGAGTTAACTTTTCCTGCAACTCCTTGGAAAGGGATTCGATTTTCAATGAAGCGAAGTGACCACTTCGGATCATGGCCGCAGCTCTACTGGCTAGGGAAGCGACGACCGGTTCTCGGGATATTAGCTCCGTTTCCAGTGACTGGTGTTTCTTCTGCAATCTCTGAACGGACATTAGAGAATTCCCAAGGTCTGCACTAGCAGCTATTAGTTCCTTCTCCGATAACCAGTGAAGTTCATCCTCCACGTCCCGCGCATACTGATGCAGTAGTTTCGCGTCCTCTAGGTTATCCCGTCGTATCTGTATCGGCTCCTGTAGACTATGAAATCGCATAATTGTCGCATTAGCCCGCTCTTGAATCTCTTCGCACATGAAGTGTTTCGATCTTTGGAATGCGGAGGCGGTTTCTTTTATCGTCTCGCAAGCGTCATTATGACCTAGAACGTCGTTTTCCAAATTCGTATGTCTTTTTAACAAGTTAGCGACACTCGAGAGATCTTTTCCATGATCCTCCGACTGGAGTTGTGTTTCGGCCTCGTCCATCCAGGCTTCGAATTCGTCTAAGGTTCGTCCGAACAAAAGAGCCTGATAAGCATCATTGAGTCTGTTTTTCTTCAATTCGCTTGTTTCCTGAACAAGTCGCCATTCGGCTTCGAAAACTTCCAACCTCTCCTGTATTTCCTTGGAGGCATAATGATTTTCCTCGATGAGTCCCTCTCCCTCACTGATTACGGACGCGATTCTCCCCTTGTTGGCCGCTAACTCACTCTCGAACGCCACGTGTTTTTGTATCTTGGTCTGTAAATTAGTCGAATCTCGATAATTCTCATCACTCGCAACTTGTTGTTTCTGATTTAACCAACTCTCGACTTCGTGAATGTTCCTTAAGAATTGGTGCAATTGATGACTTTCGAGTAACTTTTTCCTTCTTAACAGCGCACTGTTCTTTAACTTATCCTTTCGGGCGCAAACAGAAGCCAGTCGCTGCTGAATCGTGTTCGCCTCGTAGTGTTCGACGGATATAACACCCGCAAATTTTTCCAGATCGTCAATTCGGCCCATTTGGGACATGAGCATTTTTTCGAATTCTTCATGCTTTCGGAGAAGTGCTTCTACGCCGGATAGAGATTCGCCCAGGTCTTCGTTATTTAGGAAAGCCTCCTTAGTTCCTAGGAAGTTGTCCGCTTGATTCGTTTGTTCCTTGAAGATTTGCAACTGATGCGCTTGGGTCAACTTTCGTCGTCTATTAATCCAAGCATCTAGGAGGTCTTCTCGCAGCCTTTCGAGATAATCAAGATTCTCCTGCACATTCTCCCCGATTGGGAGAAGCTTCCTACCGTGTTCGATCAAGAGATTAAATGTATCTTTCCTACCGTCGATTTCCGCCTTTCTTTCCTGATGCAATTCGAGCGAAGCTTCGGCTTCAGCGATAGTCGTCGCTGACTCAGCGTCCTCCATTCGCTTTATTGTATCGGCCACCCAAATCTCAAGTTCGTGAAGGTCGGCCTGGAATTTGTGAATCGTGTAAGCTTGGTTTAGAGTTTCGCGACGTGTCTGCGATAATTGTTGCAATTGATTCCAGTTTCCTTGTAATTCGGACAAAATGGAACTGATTTCCTTCGCGTTCTCCGGATACTTTTTGCATAGATTCAGAGCTTCGGTTTGATGCTCCTTTATTTTTCCTTCTATCGCAGTCATGTCCCTCTCGAGTGTCTCTTGTTTACGTTGTAAATGTTCAACGTCGCTTAGATCCTTGCCAATGTCGGAGGAATTCATGAGCATTGATTTCTCAATTACTCTTTGACTGGTGTCATCGATGTCGCGATTGAAGAGATGGATTTCCAAGGCACCGGCTAGAATTTCTCGGTAATTGGATAAGGCGCCTTGTAGACCTCTCCATTTTTTGTTGAAATTGTCCCTTTGTTGTTGAACTGATTTCGAATCGTTGTCTTGACCTTGTTTGATTAGCTTGTCGGCCAAGGCGTTTATGACTTTAATTCTCGCATCGTCGACTCTCATGTCACTGTCAACATCGTCGAGTTTTCTTTGAAGACCCAAACAGTGCTCGTAATCTTTCCCAGTCTCCCCGGCTTGGACCATCATTTCCTTGTCGCGGATCCAGGCCTCGATTTTCTCCACTTGGTTGTTAAACTCCAAAATATCTTGTGCCTCTTCCAAACCCCGACCCCTATTTCCGGATTCATGGAGAAGATTCTTCCAGGATGTATTCAGGATATCGACCTGCTGCTTAATCTCCAGACTCGCGGGATGTTTCTGCAAAAGTAGCGTCTCGCCTTTAGCCTTAATTTCCTCGACTTTGCTCTGATTAGCCGCGAGTTCGGCCTGAAAAGCCTGGTGCTTCTGCAACTTCTTTATCTTTTCCTCAAGACTCGAGACGTTTCCTTTACAAGTCTCAGCTTCGAGTTTCTTCTGCTTCTCCTCAATCCAGGATTCAGCTTCGCCAACGTCGCGGATAAACTGAGCGTGAAGAAGACTAGCTTCCAGTTTCTTCTTCTTCACTTGACACAAGTCGCGCACCTTCGCCCTCCGCTGGACAACTTGATTCAATCGATTTCCAATCGTATGCGATTCGAAATGATTCTGAGCCAAAAGTTTGTCGCCATGCTCTTGTAGAGCAACCAGTTTCTCCTCTTGGGTAATCAGCACTTTTTCGAATTCGTTATGTTTCTTCACTTGTGCATTCACCTCTTCGACGGAAATGCCAAAATTGTCGCCATTTAAGGCCGCTTCTTGTGTGAGGGATAAATTGTCAAGTTGCTTCGCGTCCCGAAGGAAGAAATGCAGATCGATAAGTTGATCCAAGTGGATCTTCTTCTGCTGCCAGGATGTGTGGAGCTTCTGCCTTTCTTCGAGAAGAAGGTTGCACTTTTCTTCCACTTCCGCTGCGGCGTAATGACCGGTTTGGACCATCGCTTCCCCGAGGTCGAGGACAGAACTGAAACTATCTTCCCTGGCTTCGATTTCGCCTTTCACGGCTTCGTGTTCAGCTTTCAGGGATTGGGCACTAGCGGCGTCGCGCACTTTCTCTTCGGTTGACATCGAGGCCCGAAGTCCGGCCACCCAGTTTATTAAATCTCTCACTTGAGTTAAAAATCGTTGGAGGTCGCAACTGGCCTGCAACTGATCGCGCCTGTGAGCGGATCGCTCTTTTAATTCCTCCCAACTGTGAACAACGATTTTTTGTTGTTGGTCAATGTGTGTTGCGTTGTTTCCCGGATAGAGGACCTGAAGTCTCGCGGCGTCCTCCACCAAAACTTGTAGTTGAGCCTCCAAAGCTACTAAATCGTTCTCAAAACCTTCATGTCGTCGAATTAGTGACAAAACCGAGTTCAAGTCTCGTCCCAAATCATCAGGAAGGGCGGCCTCTTTCTCCTGTATTCGCGAAAGAGCCTCGGCCACGTCGCGATGGAAACGGTGAATTTCTCCCGCCGCTTGAATTCGTTGCTCTCGATTTCGAATCAACCCTAAAAGATACTGCCAAGAATCCGCCAATTGCTTCTGACGTTTCTCTATATCCTGAATGTAGGGACTCTCATTGGCGATTAACTTTTTCGCCAGCACTTCGCACTGATTGAATCTCTCCGAACCGGCTTCGATTCTATGCTTAAAGTCATTGAACTTCGCCTGCAGAATGAGAAGATGCTCAAAATCTTGACCGTAATCCTCAGAAGCTGCGGATTGTTCTTGCTCCTTAATCCACTGTTCTAACTCGGTGCTTTCGAGGAAATATTCGTGTCTGTACATACTTTCCATGAGTCGTTGCTGCCTCACGGTGGCTAATCTCTGTAATGCGCGTATTTGTTGAATTATTGTCTGTTGCTTCGCGGCAATTGCCTTGCTGTCTGGATGCTTGGAGTTTATCATCGTCGAGGCGGTGTGTCCCATTTCGGTAACAATGCCATTGTAAGTGTCCAATTCCAGTTCTAAAGCTTTATGCTTCGTGAGCAGTTTTGTAGCAGCATCGCGATCTCTTCCATAATCAGTGGAATTAAGTACATCATTCTTTTCGCTGAGCCAACTTTCTACCTCACCGACTTCGAAGAAAAATTGCTGAGCCCTCAATGATAGATCTAATGAGTGACTTCGTTCAGTAGCACGATCTTGTAGATTCTTCCATGAATTTGTTAAGTCTTCACACAGTTCTCGGATCTGGAAAGAAATTGAAACTGATTTTGAAAAATATATAGAATAATGAAAGTGGGTTTGAAGAACAAGGCGCGAACTAAGTCAGTATTTTTCATAAACGTCAGTAATTTTGTACAAAAGTCCGTAAAGTTACGGACATAATAGTTCGTAAAGTTAAGGACATAATAGTCCGTAAATTTGCATTATTTGTACATAATAGTCCGTAGATTCTACAATTTTAAACTTGTAAGCGGAAAACCTCCAATTATGACTCTTTAAAATCGTAATCAGCAACTTTAAAAATCCTTAGGTACCAAGTTCACGCATCGTACTCGATAATTAATTTTAAAAAATAGAAGTCAAATTATCTTTAAGACCGAAAAAAGTAATTATTATCAACATATTAAATTTGACGACATAATTTTTTCATAATTTCTAAATTAAATTACGTTCAAAAAAAGAATAATTTTTATTCAATAAATATTTAAACAACTATTTATTTTTCTACAGGAATTAAAATATTTTCAATGATTTCAATGTAAAGCCTCCATGAAATTTAACTATATTTCCAAAAATTACAACTATAATTCTTCCAAAATTTAATAATTAATTTTATTAGAAATTTTGAATAAAATTATTCAGAACTTTAATCATTTTATTTCAAAATAAAAAAATTATTAGTTTTACAATTTAATTTTTTCAAAGATTTCAATTTAACAATTCTTTCAAATTAAATTATTATCTAAAATTTCAATTGAAATACAAATTTAAATCAATTCTTTTTATAAAATTCGTCGAGAATTCAATTATTTAAATAAAAAAATAAAATAATTAATGGAATTATTGAATATTTCTTCAAATTGAATTCTCATACAGTTTGAAAATGAATTCTCATCATCAAATTTTTAAATAATTAAATTTTTTCGACGAATTTTAATAAAATTTTTAAAAATAATTACATTTTTCGAGGAATACGATTAAAATTATACTAAAAATAATTGAAATTCTGCAATGAGTTTTATTATTTATGAAAGTAATTGAATTGTTGCAAAGAAATTTATAAAAAATTTGTAAATAATATAATTACTGTAAAATTTTTATTATTTATGAAAATAATTTAACGTTTGCGTAGAATTTTATTAAATTTTTTGTTTAAATAATTGAATTTGTTTGGAAAATTTTATTAAAATAGTAGATATTAAAAATAATTATATTGAGGGAAATTTTTGAAAATAATTAAAATTTTGTCAAGAATTTTATTAAAATTTTTGAAAATAATTGAATTTTTAAGAAGAATTTTATAATTTATAAAAAGAATTCAAGTTTTGACGAGAATTTCTTTAAAAATTTTATTACTTTTAAAAATATTTGAATTTCTGCAATCATTTGAAACTTCTCAAAAATTAAAATTTTTAAAGTATTTTTAACTAAAATTCTTCTATAAATTCATTATTTTTAATAATTAATTAAATATATTATATGGGTAGGTTAAAAAATTCAACTAATTTCAGAATAATTTAAATTATAAAAATTTTTGCAAAAATTTAAGTTCTTTAAAATTTCTTATTAAATTCATTAAAAATTGAAATTTCATAAAATCTAAAATTTTAACTGAAATACAAATTTAAATCAATTCTTTTTAGAAAATTCGTCGAGAATTCAATTATTTAAAAAGAAAAAAAAATTATTTTTTGAATTATAGAATATTTCTTAAAATTGATTTCTTATAAAGAGATTCATCAAAATTTTGTTAAATTCTTGAATCGTTCGAAGAATTTCATTAAATATTTTTAAAATAATTAAAACTTTTCAAGAAATTTAATTTAAAATGTATCGAAAGTAATTACTGAATTCTAATAAACAAATTATATTGCAATTTTTTTTAAATAATTCAATTCTTTTGAAGAATTTTAATAAAAGTTTTAAGAATATCTAATTGATTTTTTTTCAAGGAATTCATTTAAAATTGCATTAAAAATACTCGAAATCCTACGAAGAATTTTATTATTTATGAAAATAATTGAACGTTTGCAAAGAATTTTGTAAAAATTTTTTTTAAATTATTGAATTCACTTGAGAAATTTTTTATTAAAATAGTAGATATTGAAAAATAATTGAATGGTTTGAAAGAATTTTGTTAAAATTCTTTGAATTGTTTTTAAGAATTTTATGAAGATTTTTGAGAATAATCTATTTATATTTATATGCGTTCTATCGAATGGCGTAATAATAAATTTTTTTTTGCAAAATTGCACCTAAAGTATGAAATTCTTAAAATTCATTATAATAAGGTGATGTCAAAGTCGATTGGATTTTTACATTGAGCTTTAATGGGAAAATAGGTTTTGAAGTCGCTGATTACCAATTTGTGGTCTAATTTTCAAAATTCAAAATGGCGAGTCCAATATGGCGGACTCATTTTTAAAAACTTATCGGATTTGGCTGAAACTCATTATTCAGGGGTTTTTGGGGTCACTGATTACGAATATGACATTTTAAATGTTTTAAAAATTTCAAAATGGCGGATTCAATATGACTGACGACATTTTTAAAAATTGACCAAATTCGCCTGAAACTTGTTACTCGGGGGTTTTCGGAGTTGTTGTATACGAATATGATGTTTACTTATATTCACTTAATAATAATGTCAAACTCCAAACATTACTTTTACAAAACTTAGTTTAATTACTCATTTAATCTGAATAATCTTTATTTTTTCGTTCGCCATATTGGATCTACTATTTTAAATTTTTGAAAACGAACATCATATTCGTTTAAAACGACCCCGAAAACCCCCGAGTAACAAGTTTCAGGCGAATTTGGTCAATTTTTAAAAAAGTCGTCTGCCATACTGGATCCGCCATTTTGAATTTTTTAAAACGGACATCATATTCGTAATCAGCGACCTTAGACGTTAAATTTCATTTTTTTTTTAAATTTTGACCACTCCATTCGAAAGAGCGACCCCGAAAATAGTCGGAAATGGTTTGTATGGAATTTTTTTTTATCTTTCTTTTAATAATTGTACGAGATTAAAATTCAAGTAATGATCAATATCGAATAAATATAAATGAATTAAGAAATAAGAATATAATTACCTTCTTTTTCTCAGGATGAAACTGATCGATCAATGTTTGTCCCGAAGCAAGAGTCTTATCAATCATATGTTGATGTCCCATTATTTCAGCTTCAAGTTTCTTATGCTTCTTGTGTAAAGATTGTGTTTGATGTAAATTTTGTCCAACCGAAGTCGAACAAGCTTGAGGTAAATGATCATTAATCCAATGCAATTCAGCGTCAAGTTCAAAACCAAAATTATGAAACCGAAGACTTTCCTCCAAGGCCTCGCGTCTCTTTTGTGATGGTTCCTTCAAACTATGCAATTTCTTCTGCGTATCCTGACTGAGTTTTAAAATATTATCCGCATCAAAATGACCTTCATGGGCCATTTCATAACCAATTGCAACTAAATCGTCTATTTTCTGCTCCCACTGAGTTAATTCACTTTCAAGAATATGATACTTTTTCAGCAATTCTTTACAACTTCTTAGATCCGAACCTACTTGTTTGCTCTGTAGACCGTTTTCGATTTCTTCTAACTTTGTTCTTGCGTCTTCGATCGTTCGATTGTAACCGTGTTGACAAGCCGCTTGTCTTAGCCGACGGCCTTTTTCCAGCGAAAGTGATACCAATTGATCCCATTGAGCATTGAGGTCCTTTAGTGTCCTGCCGACGTTGTCTGATCGATAATTCTCCTCTGATATTAAAGCTTTGCCGGCTTTATTAACAGCACGTAATTGGCCTTCGTTTGCGCGTAATTCTCTCTCGAAGGCTTCGTGCTTCTGGAGTTTTCGCTCAAGATTGTTCAGGTCCCGGTAACTTTCGTCGGACGCTGTCTTCATTTTATCGCCCAGCCAATCCTTTAGATCGTCCAATTCGGCCGAGAATTGTTGATAGTATTCAGAGGCCTTGAGAGCGGTTCGTCGCTGTTGTGCGGCTTCTTTAACCGCAGCTCTTCTCGCAATCACTTGTTTTCGTTTGTCATTAATATAACTCTGATCGTAATGATTCTGTTGGATTAATTTATCCGCCGAGTCACTGAACGCCTTCAACCTATCATCCTGCGCATGAAGCGTATTCTCAAACTTCTCATGCTGCTTCAATAAAGCCTCCACGTCGTCCAACGATTCGCCCAAATTCGAAAACTCCAAGAACGCCTGATGGGAACTTGTCGTCGCGTCAATTTGATCAGCCTCGCGGTTGAACTGCTGCAGCTTCAAACACTGTCGCAACCAGCGGTCCTTTGCGGTCCAATCCGAGGAGACAGTTTGGTACAAACCGGTCAACTTCCCAAGTCTCTCCCTAATCTCCATCAAAGTCGAATTACGATACAATAGCTGCGTGCCAAGTTCCTCGACTTCGCGGAATTCGTCCTCATGCGCCTTTACTTCCTCCCCGAGCTCAGTGTGTAACTTTCTCAATTTTTCCGCAGTCGCCACGTCCCTTACGGGTTCCTCATGCTTTATCGTATCCTGAATATCAGCCGCCCAGTTGATTAGATTTTTCGAACTGTTCATGAATATCTGCTGACCAACCGCGTCCTCCAAACGCGATCTTCTCTCCTTCGCCTTCGACTGGACTTTATGCCACAAATCCCGAATTTCGTTCTGTCGCGTATTGACATTCGCCAGTTCGTTCGGATACGAACTCTTTACACTGTTCGCCAAGAGATTTACTTTACGGATCTTCTCCTCTACGGGCGCTAACTCTCGTTCCAAGTGTTGATGTCTTCTTTGCAAAGCTTGAACCGTTTTTAAATCCGGACCCAGCTCTGCAGTGTCAAGTTGAGTTATTTTCTCCAACATCCAATCGTGTGCTTCGTCACAAGTTCTGTTGAATAGTTCCACACTCGACGCGCCCTCGAGGCTCTTCTCCTTCTGCGCCTTCAGCCAATTTAGATGATTCCACAACTGATTGATATGCTTTTGTCGCGCTTTCACTTTGTCTAGTTGACTATGTCCTTGTTTTACGAAGTCCTCCACTGCCGTGTCGATCAATTCGACCCGTTTGCCAGAAGCCGAGAGGTCGGTCAAAAACTTTTCGTATTTACGTTTCGCGGACTCGACATTGTCCCGGGAATCGTCTGTTCTAAGCATTTTTTCTTTATCCTTGATCCACTTCTCGAAGTCGTCGCATTCCCGATAGAAACCGTATAGTCTGATGGCGTCCTCCAAGAGGGCGTGACGGTTGACAGCTAGTTCCTGTAACTGAGCATAGGTGTCGTTGATCTTTTCGATCCGCTTCTCGACACTGTCGCTACTATTCGCCGCTTGTCGTTTTATCGGCTTGACTGTCGACTTGATGGACTTTACTCTTCGTACGGGCACGACTTGTTTGACCATTCTCGTCTTCTTTACCCGTTGGGTCACTCTCACCTTCTCGGGTTTCTTAACCTGCACTTGTATAATTTTAGGCTCGATTTCCCGCACGTAGTTTGCGGGTACAAAACCGTCGTTGCCATCACTTTTACGTACACTCCACCAATCGGGATTAGTTTTGTTCAACAGGAACATGACTTCACTTTTATACATATGCATCCCTTGACCACTGAACGGATACAGGCTCTTCACTTGCGGAACTAGGCGATCTTCCAAAATTGTCCTGCACTCCAACCGCTCGACAATCTCATCGATCCATTCGTCCTGCGGGAGGAGACGAATTTCCTTGCTCCATTCCTCCTGCTCTAGTTCCGCGACCGGCTTCGGATCGGCTGACAATTCGAGAGTCGAAATACCGGCTTTGATCAATTTCTCCGCTTGAACTTGCAGGGACTGAACATCTCCTTTATAGGCATTTAATTCCCCCTGCAGATCCTTGTGTCTTTGTAAAAGTGCCTGAGAACTTGGTTCATCGACTCCGAAGTCCTCCGAAACAACTAGGGTCAATTTTTCATTCATCCAGGAATCGGCTTCATTCGCGTCAGCGTAGAATTGAAAAGCCTCTGCGGCCTCATCGAGCTGCTTCTTTCTCAACGCAGCCAACTCCTCGAGAACTTTCCAATGCTCCTGTAGGGAGTCGATTCGATTCTGAATCTCTATTGACGAGGAATGATTATCGTTTATCAGTTTTTTGCCAACGTTCACAAGTTGCTCGGACTTTGGCCGTCGAACCTTCATCTCATCCTGCAGGACTTTGTGCTTCTGCTGCAAGGAGATAACGGCTCTTAAATCCTTCGCTGATATTCCAGCTTTGCAGATCCTTTGCTTTTCGATTAACCAAGACTCCTCGTCTTCGTGATCCTGAAGGAAGTGGAAAAAGTTCCGAGCGTCTTCCAATCGAGTCTTACGCTCCTTGGAGTTCTCGGTGAGACCCTGATAGACGTGGTTGAGATGATTTAACTTCTCCTGGAGCATTAGAGCCTCTTTACTCAACGGTTCGGTGAGATATTGAGCCGCTTGTCTGCCAAGTCGTCTTTGATTCTCCCCCAAGGCGGTTACTTGCAACTCCTGAAGACTGTGCTTCTGGAGAAGGTCCTCAACGCCGAGTAAATGGGGTCCAACGTCCACACTCTGGAAATTGAACTGTAATTCCAATATCGAGGCTAGGGTCGTATCAATCTCCCTCATTAGATTCATCAGCGAACTCAAAGCAGCGAGATTTGTTTTATGATGTCCGAGTAGTTTCAAAAGTTCCTTCCATCTTTGCAAAACTTCCTGCTCCCGTACTCGAACGTTCTCCAAACCGTGATACTTCTCTCTCACAAGTTCCTCGGACATATTCGTCAAATCGTGAAATCGTTCCTCTCGTGCTAGAATATCGGCGCTAATCGCCTCGTGCTTCTTAACCGTCGCGTCGACTTGCGTAAGATTACTTCCATACCGTGGATCCGACAAAACCTGAATCATCTCCTTAAGATAACCTTCTCGCAAAACACTTTTCCGCTCAAACTTATAATTCAACTGCTCCAATCGCTCCTGCCGCAGGAGCTCCGTCCTCAGTGCAACTTCTCGTCTATGCTCCGATCTCTCCAGCTCCACCCAATTTCTCTCGATGTCATTCACCGACTGTCCCTCCTGAGGCACAAACGCCGGCTGGTTCAATGACTTCAACTGAGTATTAATGTGAAAAAACAAAGCCTCGATTTCCGATCGTTCCTTATACTTGGGAGGTTTTTCAATTGTTCGATACTGCTTGAAAGCTAAAAGTTCACGTTGTATTCCTTCGAGGGAATTGGGAAAATCTCTGTTCTCCAAGATTTTTGTCTTCATTTTGATCCATTCCAATAGATCGGTCGTCAATTTTTCGTAGTGAACTTTCATCTTGTCGGCGTCCATCATTTGACCGACGATGTTGGCGATTCTTTTGCCACTTTTAATTTCATTTTTCATTCGGGCAAAGGTGTGATAGTAGGAGGCGACGTAGGTGATAATTGACTTTTCATCGGGTCTTGCAGTGTCCACGTCCTCGGCGTCAAGTAGACGAGGAATTCCCAGCTCTGAGTTTGCCATGTCAAAAGCATGATTAAGATTATCAATGTGTCTGCCTTGTTGAAGTTCCGACCAATGGAACAGGTCTGGTCTATGCGCATGAATGAGAGCATTGAAACCAAGTCCACTTCTCCAAGAAACTAAACATGAAAAATTAGTAAATTTTAAATAACTCTTAATTTTAAGGGCGAAATACCTTTAGATACAGGATTAGTTTCTTATATAACTTCTTTCTCAGAGTAATCACATTTTTCTGATCGATTACAAATTTAATGTTAGTTTTAACCCTTTTAGTGACGCAATTAGAATAATAAACAAAATATTATTTATATTTATTATTTTGTTTTTCCTTGATTTCTAGACAAAATTTTAACTTTTTCCTTGACCCGAAAGAAATAAAAAACCCTAAAAAATTAATTTTGTTTTTGCCTGATTTCCAGACAAAATTTTGACTTTTTCCCTGACCCTAAAGAATATTCTGCGATTCACTCTAAAAATGATTAGATACTCAAAAAAAATGTTCTATTACATTCATTTACGAATTTCTTTAATTGTAAAATTATTCAAAAACATCAATAACTTCTTTTTTAAATAAATATTTAATTATTATTATATATCCATAGGAATTAAGATTTAGAAAAAATATGAATTTAAACCTTTTGAAATTCAATAACTTTTAAGAACTATTATTATAAAACATGAAGATAGCGAGCACTCCGAATCTTCAATTCGGAGTAATCGCTATCTTCATATTTTCTAAAAATTTAAATTTCCATAAAATTAAAAAAAAATTAAATTATTTACAAAAATTTTAATAAAATCCTTCGCAAGAATTCAATTATTTTTACAAGTAATACAATTTTTCACATCAATTCAATCATTTAAAGAAATTCAATAAAATACGTTGTAAGAATTCAATTATTATCATAAAAAATAAAATTTCCCCTGGGATTTAAATTATTTTTAATACAATTTTAAATGAATTCCTTAAAAAATGCGAATATTTTCAAACATTTTTTGCAAGAATTGAATTACATTTCACAAATAATTAAATTAGTCGACAAAATTCAAATATTTAACAAAAATATATTAAATAAAATTCTTTGCAAAAATTCAATTATTTTAATAAATAATAAAATTTGTTGCAAAAATTCAATTATTTGCATAAATAATAAAATTCTTTACAGGATTTCAATTATTTAAAAGAAATGTAATAAAATTCGTTGCAAGAATTCAAATATTTTCATAAATAATAAATTTCTTCATAGGATTTCAATTATTTTTAATACAATTTTAAGTAAATTCTTTGAAAAATGTAATTAATTTCAAAAATTTTGCGAAAGAATTCAATTATCAAATATTTTTAATAATTTTTGCAAAAGTTTGTTAAGAATTTTCAATTCCATTTGTTTCCAATTCAATTTTACGAAATTTCGATTATTCGGAAGTTCTTCAATTAAATATATATTAGAAAATAAAAATTTGAAATAATTTTTAAAAAATTCAAGTAAACTCTTTCAAAATACAATTGTTTCTAAAAATTGAGGCTATAATGCTTTTAATATTTAATTATTATCTAAAATTTTAACTAAAATTCGTTTTTAAAACAATTTTTATTAGAAAATTCTACGAGAATTCAATTATTTAAATATAGTAAATAAAAAAAAAAATTATTGAATAAATGAATGTTTTTTAAAATTCCATTCCCATAAAGAATTTTATCAATAAATTTTTAAATAATTGAATTTTTTCGACGAATTTTATTGAAATTTTCAAAAATAATTACATTTTGTAAGGAATTCGGTTAAAATTATTATAAAAATAATTAAAATTCTATGATGAGTTTTATTATTTATGAAAATAATTGAATTATTGTAAAGAAGTTTTTAAAAAATTTGTAAATAGTTAAATTCCTGTGAAATTTTTATTATTTATGAAAATAATTTAATGTTTGATTATAGAATTTCATAAAAAATTTTGAAAATAATTGAATTTTGGAGAACAATTTTATTATTTTTAAAGACAATTGAAATTTTGACGAGGATTTTTTTTTAAATCTTGAACATAATTGAATTTCTGTAAATATTTGTAACTTCTCTAAAATTCAATTTTTTTAGTGTTTGTTAATAAAATTCTTCTAAAAATTCATGATTTTTAATAAATAATTAAATATATATTAAAAAATTAAGTAAAACTAATTGCAGAAGAATTTGGTTTATTAAAATATTTCAAAAATCTAAGTTCTCTAAATTTTTTTTATTAAATTTATTGAAAATTGAAATTTTCTAAAATTTCCAATTGAAACCTTTTGAAGTTTATTTATATTAAAATTCTACTTGAACATTCAATTATTTTCCAAAAAAAATAAAAACTTCACATGAATTCAATTATTTAAAATAGTATTTGCGTAAATTTTTTTTGAAAAAATCAAATGTTTTAAAATTTGGCATTAAATTCTTCGCAGTAATATATGAAAATTGTAAAGGCAACTATTTTGATAGAATAAATCCATTATTCTTAACTATTTTTAAAATTGAATTAATTTTGAAATATTGAAGTAAAATTATTCATTAAAATAATTTGCAAATAATAATTTGATGATAATTATTCCAGACTTAAGTTATTTAAAAAAAAATTATTGTCAGAAATAAAAAATGAAAAAAAAAATATTAAAAAAAAAATAAAAATTTTTTTTTTTTTTTTGAATTTTTTATTTCTTATTAATAAAAAAATTCACAAAATTCAGAATTTTTTTATATGAATCGTGCAAATTAAATTTTTTCCAGTACTTTAATAATTACAAAAATCCCTGACTTTTCCCTGAATTCCCTGACCTGTGGCTGTGGCAATCCTGCATTTGCAAAATTTTTAAAATTCAAAATGGCGGCTACAACATGGTGGACGAGAAAAATTAAAAATCACTCTGATTGGCTCGATGCTTGTCATTTGGGGCTACGAATTAATTTATTTAAATGCATAACATTTATATTCTAAATTTATCTTAGATTTGCAGTCAATAATTCCAAAAAAAGAAATTTTCTTATAATATTTTCTTTATTTATATCTTATTAAATTAATTTTTAAAAAATTGTCCGAAACTTTTTAAATATTAAAATAATCATATAACATTTTTTGTCCCTCGATGCTTAGAAGAAAGAGAAAAGAACAAAAATATTCTTTTTCTGTTCTTATTCTACAGACTTTAGTTTTTATGTAAATAAAATAATTTCTTATTACGATTAATTGCAAAATTCGTTACAAATATACTTTTGAAAAATTCTATAAACATGAAAAAAAAAATTTTTTTTTTTGATATATCTAAAGGTATTTCCCTTATAAATATTTACCCAATTAACTTTTAAATTTTTGGCAAGTTTGCAAAATGTACTCATAACTTTCATAACTTGTAAGGTTGCAGTAAGCTTGAAGCAAACTTACAAATTTAAAAAAAATTTAATTTAATTTTTTTTTTAATTTTTTTAAATTAAGAGGACATTTTGCATCGGGCATTATTTTCAAATAATTAAGAAAAAAAAGGGTTAAAAGTACGTACCGGTAAAATCTTGAATATTAACTCCATTATAACCATTCGCCTTTCTTTGACACCAGAGAAGAAGAGCGTCTTTTGCAGATTTCTTCTCGCTACTCTCATTTTCTTCATCCACATCAATTTCAATTTCTTGAATTTGAAACCTCAAAATTATGGTCCAAATTAAACCCAAAATTAAACGAGGATTTCTGTCAACAATATCTTCTGCTCCAATACTTTCCAATCGAACCTGAAACATAAGAGTCATAAGCATTAAAAAGAATACTATTATTGATATTCTTTACAAAAAAATTACATTCTGCAACTATTTAAAAAGAAAAAGATTATAGCTAAATCTAATCATGCTTTATAAAAATTTAATTAAACATAAAATCTGTTAACTTGATATTTCATTAATAAGTAAAAAATATTTGAAAAATCACATTTTTGTTTTGTCGATTTTTGGGTTTAAAAATTTTTTTAAATATTGTTTTTTTCTTATCAATTTCAGTTTTATTCATTGAAAATTTTTTTTATCTAATATTTGTTGGTCATTTCAATAACTACTACGTCACTTCTGTCTCATAATAATATTTCATACAATTTTAAATCGCATTTAAATTAATTTTACAACATAATATTAGTTAGATTAAATTTATGACAACCTTTTAAAATCTATTGGTAAAGATAAGTCACAAATTATGAATTTGTGACACAAATTATAAATTATTAAGAAATAGAATGTAAAAACTGGGATGGTACTTATATATATGCTGTCTTGGAGATTGCTTTAAACTTGATATAATGAGTGTAAATTTAATTACCGCTTAGATAAAAAATACTATTCTGTTGTTACTAAACACAAGCTAAAAAACATTTATAGTAAACTGATTATATTTTTAAAACACTAAACATGTATTCAATAGTTTTTAATAGAAAAATTTATATTAAAAGATGATAAACATGTTTTGTATTTCAAAAATATTTTCTTGACAAAGAAAATTTATTACAAAAAATTTATTTAAATCCTGTATTATAAAAAATTTTTTAAAAATTAAAAAAGATTCAAAAAAGATTTAAAAAATTTTTTTAAAGATTATAATTATTACCTACTATTATTAAAGTATTTTATATAATTAGAGATACTGATTGACATGGAAGTCAAAATATTATTTTTTTCAAGCTTCGTACTCGATAATTAATTTTTAAAAAAAGAAGCTATCGAAAAATTAAATTTGACGACTCAATTTTTTTTCATAATATTTCTTATTTAAATTACATTAAAAAATAGAATAATTTTTTTAAAATAAATATTTAAATGCAGATTTATTTTTCCACTGGAATATAATATATATTAAAGGATTTTAATGTAAAGCATTTTTGAAATTTAACTATTTCTAAAAATTACAATTGTAAATTCTTCCACAATTCAATCATTTTTTTGTTGAAATTTTTAAATAAAATTATACAAAACTTTAATTATTTTATTTCAAAATAAAAATATTATTACAGTTTTACAACGATTAAAATTTTCAAAGATTTCAATTTAAGAATCGGAATTTAAATATTTTTAAAAATTTACACTTAAGACGCTTCTAATTTATTCAATTATTATCTAAAATTATACTTGAAATTCATTTTTAAATTAATTCTTATTAGAAAATTCTACTGGAATTCGATTATTTAAAAGCAAAAAAAAATAATTTTTTATTGAATAATTGAATTCCTTCAAATTATTTTTATAAAATTTTCAATTGCATTTTTCGAAGAATTCATTTAAAATTGTGTTAAAAATATAATTGAAATTAAATTAATTAAATAATTTAATTCACCTGAGAAGACATATTATTTATGCAAATAAAAAATAAAAATAATAAAAAAAAAAAAAAATTTGTTAAAATACAAATTTAATTGTCTCGAAGAAAATTTAAGTCCATACGAGGAAGTTAATTAAAATTGCACTGAAAATAATTGAATTTTTCCAAAGAATTTTATAACTCATGAAAATAATAGAATTGTTGCAACAAATTTTACTAAAACTTCTTGAAAATATTAATAATTGAATTGTTTTACGAAAAATTTCATTAAATTCTAAAAAATTAACTCAAAATAATGTATTTAAATAATTGAATTCTTTCTACAATTATTTTTAATAAAATTTTTAAAAATAATTAAATGTTTCGAGGAATTTGATAAAAATTATATTACAGATTATTAAAATCCTGCGACGAGTTTTATTATTTATAAAAATAATTGAATTCTGTTAGACAATTTTATAAAAACATTAAATAATGAAAATAATTTTATTGAGGAAAATTTTTGAAAATAATTCAAATTTTACCAAGAATTTTATGAAATTTTTTAAAAATAATTAAATTTTTGAAGAAGAATTTTATTATTTATAACAATAATGGAAATCCTGTGAAAATTTTATTATTACTTGTGAAAATAATTGAATTCTTGTAACGAATTTTATTTATTTATAAAAGTAATTGAATTCTTGCGAAGAATGTTATTAAAATGTTTTTAAAAAATTTATTTGTTTTAAAAAAATTTAAGTGAAAATTGTATTTTAAATAATTGAATTCCTGTGCAAATTTTATTATTTATGAAAATAAATGAATGTTTGCAATAATTTTACTAAATTTTTTTGAAAATCATTGAATTCTTATAGGAAATTTGTTATTAAAATAGTAAATATTGAAAATAATTGAATTTTTTTGAAATTTTTTAGAAATAATTGAATCATTTGAAAGAATATTTGATTAAAGTTTCTTAAATTGTTTTTAAACATTTTATTAAAATTTTTTTCATAATAATTGCTATTTTTTGAGGAAATTAAATTTAAAATTCTATCAAAAATAATTGAATTCCCGAGAAGAATTTTATTATTTATAATAAGAATTGAATTCCTCTGAAAATTTTATTGTTTATGAAAATAATTGAATGTCTGTAAAGAATTTTATAAAATTTTGTTTTTATTAATTATTTAATTTGTCAGGGAAGTTTTTTATTAAAATTGTAAATATTTGAAAATAATTGAATTTCGAAAATTTTTTGGATAATAATTGAATCGTTTGAAAAAATTGAATTAAAATTTTTTGAATTGTTTCTAGAATTTTATTTAATTTTTCTAAAAATTTTCTAAAAAAAAATTGTTAAAGCAAGTGGTATATTAATTGCGTTTATAAATCCACTCTAAAATAAAAATATTTTCGATTGCCATGAAAATTGACAGACACGTCAATGGTGTCTTTATTGCAGTACAAGACTCATTTCCAAACTGTAAATATTTAACTCAGTAACGATAAGAACAGCGATTAGCGTGCAAATATCCTGTCATAAATAGCTGATATTTTCTTTGATTCACTTCACAGTAAAATAATAATCAATACATTTCAGAAAAAATATATGTTCTACATTTATAAACAATCCACAATTAAAATCATAATTTTACGTTTCATTCTTCTCACAGGTAAACATACATATAATAATTTAAAAACAAAGGGTCATAACACCTATTTTTGTGCAGGTAGGGCTACTTACTTACTTGTAGGAAGGGTATACAATTTTTTTTAACTTATAACGCATCGAGCTCTTTTTTATAAAGCTCTGCTTGGAAATACGCCTCACATTGATACTTTTCTGCAATTATACAATAAAAAAAACAATATTTTATTTAGAAATGCAAACGGTTAAAATGACCATACACATCAATAAAATATTGTACGTTCAAAAATATTAAGTTTTTCATTATTTGAAAAATTGTTTACTGCAACCAAATCTGGTCACAAACTAGACTTGAAATTTAGATAATTATTTAAATAAATATAAATATTTTATATTTCTTGTAATATCGCTGATAATATTGTACGAAAGTTTATTTTTTTCTGTAAAAATATTATTTTTACAAATATATTAACATAAATTTTTTGTTGGTAAGCATTTAAAAAAAAACGTTTTTAGGTTAAAAATGCTAAAAAATACTATTGTTATTCCATTTTTTATTTAGAACTTCATTTCTTTGCTTTTCTAACTAATTTCAAATCATAAGTTTTTAAAATAAAAAATATAAAAAAATTATGATTTAAAATTAGTAAGAAAAATCAACAAATTTATTTTCATATAAAAATTGAAAAATAATAGTATTTTTAGAACTTACAACCTAAAAACAATGTTTCTCTTTAAAATAAAAATACTTCAAAAATAGTACATAAAAATCAATTTTTTTTATTCGAAAATATATTTTCTACAAAATTTCGGATGGATTTTAAAATCTATCAATTTTTAAGAAAAATAAAAATTCAAAAAATGAAAAAATATTTTCTGACCATTGAATTTCTCTCAAAAAATTATTATAAAAATAATTTTATGGAAGATTATAATCATTTTTCACAATTTTTAATTAAAATTATTACAGAAACTCAAAATTTTGTTTAACGAAAAATTCAAAGAAGTTCTTCAAAAAGATCCGAATTTAATTAGAGTTTTCAATAATTTTAACAAAATTCTTCGCGAGAATTTAATTTTTTTTTTTAATAAAATAAAATTTTTCTAAGGAATTATATTATATTATCAAATTTTTTGATAAAATTCTTTGCAGCAATTCGAAAATTTTAAATATCTTAATTTTTTAATTAAAAATATTTATAAATAGAAAAATTTTTAAAATGAAGTTAAGAAACAAAAAAGCAAACAACTAACTGAAAAAAGCGAACAGATTATTGTAATACAACGATTATTAACATAGATTTTAATTGAAAATTTTGAAAATAATTGAATTAAACAAACAATTTTTTATTTTTTTAAAATAATCGTCCTTGTTAATAACTAATTAAAATTAAAAATTTGATTATTTATAAAAATAATTTAATTGTTTTGAAGGATTTATTAAAATTTTAAAAAATAATTGAATCTTTTCGTAAAAACCTTATTAAATTTTTTATTAAAAATACTTGAATTTCTTCATATTTATAAAAATAATTGAATTCATCCGAAGAATTATATTAAAATTTTTTTTAAATTGTTCGGAAAAATAAACGATTTTGTACAGTTATAAAAAAGAAGAATTCGCAAAATTACCATATTTATAAACAGACTTTTGTCTTATGTAAGTCTGTGTTATTCTTTTACGAATTTTAATAAATGCAACTATATAGGAATGCAAGTGCGATAAATGAGAAACAAAACGTTTATGAATTTATAATCGAGAATGAAGATGAGTTTATTTTTTTCTTTCAAATTTATCAC